TCCCAGCTATCCTATTTTCTGCCTCTTCCGTTCCTGCATGAGGCTCTTGCCATTCCCTTTTTTCTCTTCTTTTTCTGGATGAATCAATCTGAACCAGCTTTCCTGTCAGTTTGCAGATCTCTGCAAACCTTTGAGATTGACTCACGTTCAGAGAAACATTTCAGATGGTCCTGTCATACTTGGTGTCAGTTCTCTGTGATAAAGTCCTAGGATTGGGGGAGTTTCAGCTATTGCTTTTTCTTCTTTAAAGGTCGCTTTCAGGACCACTTGCTCGTAAAGAAAATCCTGACAGTGTCACCTGTAAGAAACAGATGGCAATTAATTTATTTTTAAATGATGTAGGCATCAAGCTACTTCAAGAAACCTACAGTTTCTCAACAGTGGGAGATGATAGATCAAACTCAAAAGTTATCTTTCTTTTCTTCATCGATGCTCAGCAAGTGCTTGCTTCTCCCACACTAATTCTGTCCCTTTGTCTTTTCACTCAGAACCCTCTGACGGAATCCTTGCTAATGCCCAGTTCATTTTCTGAGCTCTGTCAGTTCATTCATATACCTGTATTTTCAACTAAAACAACCATATTTTATGACTACTTATGTAATTTTAATGGTGGGGTTTTTTTCTATTACTTAAACTAATAATCCATCAAATAATGTACAGCCCTATTAAAGCAGACAAAAACTTAATGATGTTCTGAGTCTTTCATGTGGATTTTAGACAGGATACTTGGTGTTCCTATCCGATCCTTTTGTCTGACATCATTCCAAAGGCATTATTTCAATTTTTCAAAGTATGTATATCCAGAGGTGACTGCCTTCTGTCTCACCAGTTTTGTTCTGTACTACACACGAGCAGTACCTTGTTTCCCTCTTTTCTGCTTTGCCTCTTGATTAGCCCTTTAAAGTCACTGATCCTCAGGTATAATTTGAGTACAGCTTCTACTGTTTTGCAAAATCGTAAAAATGACGAGCATTAAAACTTTGTGAGTAGATAACCTCCAGCAAGAAGGTAAAGAACATTCCCTAAATCTCTGAGCCAGCTGGCGCTGGAGGCTGTACCACCACCTCTCAGCTGTACTCCCACCCACTGCCTTACAGCGGAGTCCACCAAGGCAGCAGAGTGGACAAAGCCTTGGATCTGCCCTGCCAGACACAACGACCCAACTCCTGCGGGGCTGTGAACCTCAGCGGCTGCCGACTTCTCATTCCTGACAGCTGTGGTGCCCAGAGATTACCAACCCCATTATGGTCCCCCTTGACCACAGCTAAATCCGACAGGGAATTTGGATTTTTGGACATCAGGAAGAAGTTCTTCCCGGAGAGGGTGGTGAGGCACTGGAACAGGTTGCCCAGAGAAGCTGTGGATGCCCCATCCCTGGAAATGTTCAAGGCCAGACTGGATGAGGCTTTGAGCAACTTGGTCTAGGGGAAGGTGTCCCTGCCCATGGCAGGGGGGTTGGAACTAGATGGTCTTTAAGGTCCCTTCCAACCCAAACCGCTCTGTGATTTTCAAGGCAGGGCTTCCATCTGGGCATATGGGATTTTCCTAGGTAGCTGGTCCAAAACTAGAACTTTCTTTTCTATGAAAAGCAAGGAAATTTAAGTGTCATCACTTATAAATCTTTTTTTTTTTTTTTAAAGGAACCTTAAAATATTTACCATTTTCAACTGTTAAGTTCTGTTCATAGCTGTAGATACAAGCTACCTTGCTCTTCCTTCTCATTCTGGAAAATGTCTCACTCGGGCTCACTCTCTACAGCTAAGACCTTAGCATCTGAAAACAGTTCCTGTGCAGGGCAGAACTGAAATGAAGCTTGCTACTGATTTCTTAGCACTGCAGGTAACACTACTGAACCCTGAAGGCTGTTGTCAGCAGAAGTAATGAACTGCCACTGGTTTTTATAATGTCAGTGTAACCCAGTGCATCTTTAAATCTTTAAATAATTTATTATTTTATTTGGTCAGATAAATCCTCAAATCTGTTTCTTTCATGTCAGTAATGTGCACCCTTCTATAATTTCTTTAGGTTTTAGCACCTGCAGTAGCACTGCTCAAGTGTGGAACGACGTGTGTAGGTCCAAAAATAATTAAATACAAATATCAACCTTTATGTGTCTACTTCAGGCATAGTTCATCCTGTAAGTATTAGGTAAGACAGATCATGTTGGTTTTTGTCCAGGAGCTATGAAAAATGTGGACTTTAACTTTCAGTCTGTCCTCAATACCTGTTGCTTCTACTATAAATATATCTCTATCTTACAGTAACCTGATATCTTTAAGTAAGCTGCAGTGTTACTTTCACTCGGACACTTACCTAAAATGCACCTAAGTATAAGAACAGAAAAACTTTCAGCACTCTCTCTGCTGGGATAACTTCCAAATTTTTGCTTCACGCCGCGTAAGAAAAGTCAGATTTGTGCGTAGACTCTACGGTTGATATTAAACCTTGGCTCATTTCACAGGCTCCATAACCAACCCCCAGCAGCTCAGCTCGTTAAAAATGCCATGCTTTACATCAGTTCTATTTGAAGAGCTCATCCTGTTAAAAACAGCTAGCGCTATTGTTAGTGGCTTTGTACCTTGGAACCCAAGCAAGAGAGAGATAACCAGCGTACACAGAAAGACACAAATATAGCTTTACATGAGCATCAGTGTCAGTGGATTTTGAGATCTAATTTGCAGCTGCCAAAAATAGTAAACCTTGAGCCTAATTCATAATACAGTTATTACTGGTTTTACACTAATGCGAGGTAATGACAGCAGCCAGAACAAGGGGATATTCCACAAGTCTGCCTTAACTGAGCGTTGACACTTGAGTTTTTATGCCACTCCTGTTTGGTGAGACTGACTGTGAAGGAGGAGACAGACAAGGTAGTACAAATGCAACCACAGAGTGCATGCATGGGACTTGTCAGCAGAGCACCTTAACTTTGCAACTTCTCCAGACTTCAGTTCACAGTTGAACTGTGACCTTGCTATTCTGTATATCACCTATAAAAAAAGCCACGATTTATTTGTTGTTTGTACTTTTATAGCATTTCCTTAATAAATGCCCCATGTACTGTCCATTATTTTCAGTAATAAAACCAACTCCAGAACATTCACAACATAGACTGTTTTAGTTAAAGAAATTGCATGATTTTTTTTGTTTGTGGTGTGCTTTGAAGACACAACTTAACATTTTCCACACAGCTGTTTAACATAAACGCCCACTTCAGAATGTGATTTTTTGCCCTCTTATTAATATGAGCAATATTGCATGACAAATACTCAGCTATATAAGCTTGCTGAGACCTTTATTATTTTCACATTTTAGATTATAAGTTTAAAATAACTGCATTTTAGCTTGATTCAGTGGGCAAAGGTGTTATTCAAGTAGTTAATTAATTCGAAAGCCCTTCTAAGGTTACTTTAAAATTGTTTGTAATGTCACTATTAGCATGTTTAAGAGTACTTGGCTGTAGCCTCACCTCATTACATTAATAACTACTACAGAAACATGTAATTTCATTAGATTTCGCTAAGGAGCATTAAGCCTTCAAGAATTATTTACACAAACCGAAACGTACCACACCGTTTGGAAATGCAACCATTGTTGCAGAGGGACATTAAATAGTGAAATATTTAGATATGGATGAAAGTGAAGTCAAATGCCTGTTCAATTGTAATTATTTTTTTAGACTCTTTACATTAAAACTCAGTTCACTTTTACATTAGAACTGCTTTGGGAGGATAGTAACCTTGACCTCACAATCTTTGGTTTAGTTTTTAATAAATGTTGCTTCAGATACCATTTAAAACCTGATCCCTACCATTTCAGGGAGACAAGACCATACGGTTTTCAAAGCTTTGCTTTGTCTCTTAATATATAATCCTCGCTGTACAACTGCGTACCTTCTTCTGTGCTTGCAACACAAAAATCAGCAGACGTTGTCATTTCCCTAACTCCTCTGAAATGTGAGTTTTGGATGTTGGTAGCGAGTTACATTGGCAGTAAAACAGCAGTGGTAAAGTTGTTGTTCAGAGCGATGCAACAATTTATGAGTAACGCCTGCTAGGTATTAGAGGAGGCTGTATGCACCAAGATCCTCAGAAACAACAGTGCAGTTGGGTACTCTCAGGTGAAGTGCAAGACCACAGCAGAGGTGAGATAGGTACGAGTTTATTGACAACGTACTCACGGTGCAGCCAGCACGGGGAGCCCCTGTAACCACACGGGGGATGTGAGGGAAAAGCAGAGTCTGGTCAAGCACCAGATTCGAGGCTCGGTCCACTGACGTCCCTGCCTCAACTCACATACTTCTTTTTGACAGCAGGTTACATCTATCTCACACCCACCTGGTTACACATCAAACAACACAACGCTGCAACAGTTAGTTCAGGTCACTGTGACCCAATGATCATCGGTAGGGTCAGGATCTTTGCTTCGTGAACTGGGACCAGATCACGCACATCCAGCCACATCCTTGACTCCTCGATGATCTTCCAAGTCTTCCACTTGCAGCTTGTACATCCCAACGTGATGCATTTCTCCGTACAAACTGCAGGGACCAGGTTCCAAAACTCTGGAGTAGATGATTTGATGCATAGCTTTTCTTCCGCCTCAATCAGTACATTTGAGAAAAAAGCCCACAAACATCCTTGTGGCACAGCTATTTACACTTGCAGCAGCACAGATATCCACGTGTTAAAAGATTTATATAAAAAAGTATGTTTCCTACTACTCTATTAAAAAAAAAAAAAATCCAATGCAGAAGTATTCTTAAGTTCCTTTCCCAATACAGTCTGAAAATCTATACTGTGTTTTAGGAAGACTTTTGAAATAGCATACACAAAGAAAGATTACCTGAAAATACTGCCTGAATGAAGACAAGGAGAATCAGAATGGCAATATGCCATCAATAATGCTCAGAAATGCAGCTGTTTTGAGGTCAGCATTTCTTTTGTTCACTTGGCTGTCTCTATTCTGGCTGATTCATCTCAATCCCAAAGCAAAAATCATCAATAAGGTGCTTCATTAATACACGGAAAATAGTCTTCAGTCTTGAAGAGGACTGGAGGTTCATAGAGGGTCTGTTGTTGTCGTGAGGAAGACGATTTCTGCAAATTAGATAAGTTTATTTTTCACCTTCCTACATCAGCAAGTTTTAAAACAAAGCCTACAGAGCTAAAATGCAAAACAAGATGAGTTTTCAAGGCTTACCTCCTCAGACAGGTGAAATTTTAATCATAGCTCAGACGGGTCTGGCATATTCTTAGTGTTAGTGAAGAAAAGAAGCCTTTGACTTTTGCCATTGTATCCCCTGAACAGAGTGAGTCCCGGAAAGCGTAAGATATGCCAGCTCCAAAGGAGCCAAACAGGTACTCTCTTTTCCCGCTGATGGTACAGTCATTGTAACCTTCATCCTTCCAAAACCTTTACCATTCACCTCAGCTACGTCCTTTGAGTAAACCCTAGCCTGTGTTCTCATTTACTTTGTTAAAAAGGTCTTCATATGGAAACACACCCAGCAAATGTTTATTTGGAGAAGGCTGCTGCTCCTCTCCTGCTGAGCTTTTTCCATCAAGGATATGTTGGAATATATGCACTATTATATACCATTAAAAACATTATGGTAGTCGACTGGAAAAGAGCTGGTTTACGCTGTTTTTCAGGAGAAGTACACGGGTCTCTTAAATATTAACTGTACGTTGTTTCGTTATACACCGAAGGCTCACTTAAAGAGACAACAGCAAGGACCGACTGCTGCCCAGTGTGTCAGCCTTCCCGCACGTAACCACAACACTGAGCCAGTGCGCGTTTTCAATACGCAGTCTTAAGCAGGAGGGCCTGAAGTCAAGACCTCATTCATCCAACATCCTTTTCGATTCATGAAAAGATTCTGATGAACTGTTCTGCAGAGCTCTCGGTCAGTTTGCCTGCAGAGTTCTCCAGGTACGTTTTTGCCTGTCTGGGATGAGGAAATTAGAGCCTTCACCAATAATAAAGTTAAAAGCATAGTACACACTCCAAGTGTACTTGGAGGCTGGAATGCTTTTACAGCACCAAAATGAGGATACAATTAAGCATACCTACAAAATAGCAAAGTGGAATTTTTCCAGTATTCAGCTGAGCTGTATACTTGTACTCCATATGAAATACATGTTCTCCTGTTGTATACAAAATTGCTGATTTATGACATTTAAATTATACATGTCCTGAACTTCACAATACCAGTAATTTCTCTGAAGTAAGTCTGCTCTGCCATTCAACTTGTGATGAAATAAAAAAATATAAACAAAGATCAGAAGTATAAATAGTGGATATTATCAATGTTCTCCATATCAGAAATACTGACAAATATACAAGCAATCTTTGAAATCAAACTTCTGTTTTTAGCAATTATCTCTTATCCCATACCACCCTATGAGAAAACACCTTGCAAGCAAGGGAAACTAAGGTCACGGGTATTCTGTAACTCATGACACTGATTTAAGAGGCCTATGTTTGTGTTATGCACAAGAAGGGGATCATTTCAATCCCGTGAGGAAATTCCTAGGCAGGCACAGTACCCACAGTTGCCTAAGCACACATTTACAAATAGTTATTTTTGCAGCTGCTTAGCAGACATTTTTACCTTATGAGAGTCTACATCCTTAGTGATATTAGAATTCTTACAGTACTGTACGTTACACTGCCTGGTATCCAAAAGGGAAGAACTTGGAGCAAAAACCGAAAGTGAGTTACTAACACACATCTTAAGAAACCCAAAATATACCCTTTCTGTAAAGAAACAGATACATTTAAATGTGAAGAAAGTGGAGGGGACTTGACTAAATTAAAAATGTAAACTACAACTACTGGTACGGTCTTCTTTTCCAAAGGGCTGATGCATCCGAGTGAGCTCATTAAATGTTAGGCATGAGGAGAAATCCCTGTAGGTATTTTCATTTAGACACGCTTGTGCTGACCAGTGAAAATAGGTATTTTAGGGTGGAATACTCAGTACCACTGCGAACAGTGACCTGCTTTTGACCTGAACAATTCACACCAGTAAGTTCCGAAGGTTGATTTTACTGCTACCCGTACTCAAACCAAGAAACCACTGGACGCGCGAGGTTCAGCCTGCTGACACTTCCTAAGACTTTCTCCCGTGTTAATTGTGGAGAAACTGCTAAGTTGACAAAGCGTTCCCGTGCAACACTAAAAAAGCACTTTCTTAGAAGTTTCAAACTTCTCAACTGAGGATTGTAATTCCATGGCTTAAAACAGTTTTTAGCAACAAAACGGCAAATAATGTTGAATGTTCTTCAAGGCAACTGCTGCAGTCAGTTTTATAACTGGCCCGTAAACAGCAGCTTCGTGTTGTCTTTTTAAAAGAAGAAAATGACACGTCTAAATTGAAACACCAGCGAAAACAAAGGGATGAGAAGTTAACTAACTTAAAGACTGCACAGAAAACAGCAGTAAAGAACAGGTTTCCTGAACTGAATCTTATCAAGACAATACATATTCTTTTTACATCCTTTTTCCCCCCTGCTGCCGCATGCGCTTTCAACATGTAAGAACCCAAACGCTTCAAACAGCCACAACCTGCCCCCCCCTTCCGCAAACCTTGGCTTTCATCTAGCTTAGCTTAGCACAGTTCTCATTTCCCTTTTTGCTAACATTTATGCAGCGCCATGCTTAACGCAGCACGATCCTTTAACTGCCTGTATAGGCTCTCCATACTGGCTCTGCGTACCATCAGAGGCGAGGGAGGCTTTAACATAAGGGCTTGTTCGCACGTGCTTCCCTTCACATTCCCTCCTTTGCGCATCCAGGCTTCTTTGGGGAAGCTACACAAATCCTTCTAAGTATCTGTGATTTTTAAGAGCGTGCATGTGCGTTCATTAAGTCTGAGAACCTTGCAAAAATCCTAACAGAGCATATGAACGTTTGACCGTTAAACTCAGATACGCGCGTTACGATTATTTTAATCGCCCGCTCCAGTGAGCGGAGCAACTGAGCTGGTCACGCGGGAAGAGAAGCTCACTTACGTTAAGGAAGGACGGAATGCTGATCGTGTGCAAGATTTTCTTGAACGTGCTCGGAAAAGCTCCAAGGTCCGTTTCTGCCTTTATGACCCGTTCTTCCAGTCCAGCGACGCTATTTCCAATCATCTTCACAAAAGCCTAGTGTGAAAAAAATGATGATAAGAAATCCAACTTTCCCACTACCAGTTTAAACCAGGATTATGTATTGCATGACAGAGGCGAAAGTTCCATTAATCAAACGTGAAGCACTCCATGCTCTATTTCCCTTCCACCTACAAGTCCATTTTAATGCTAAACATTACTTGAGATACTTAAAAAGCTGCAAAACCAGGTTAAATCTACTAAAACAACCAGTCTTCCTTTTTTATTTGCCTTTCAAATAACTAATTTAGACTTCTTAGGATTCAGATTTTAAGGGCTTTTTTTCTTTTTAAGGTATTTTGGTTTAGAATACCCACAGTCTTCAGAAACTCTTAATAAACAGCATTCTCTTCATTAATCCTGAAGTATTGAACCCAGCTTGGACATGGAAAACAAAAAAAAGGGGGCGGCTGGACTAGATGATCTTTAAAGGTCCTTCCAACCCAAACTATTCTACGACTCTATGAAAACGGATCAGAATCCAAATCCACGTGCATGCACGTGCGCAAGGTGTGCAATTACAGCCTCTCATTGATTATTCCCCCTATAGAGCAACGGACTACATCTCAAAGATACCAAGTACATACCTCTAGTTTGTCAATCTTCCTGTATATGTGTCTCATTTCTGTAGCTTTTGTGTAAATTTGAGGTAGACTTTCATTGACAACTTGAGAGGAATCACTTCGAATCTATAATGATTCAAAGAAATAATACAAAAGTCAATGAATAAAACAAAAAAGTTAAGCAGTAGGCTTTATTCTGGAAACTGGAACTGTGCTCCAATTAACAGATTAAAACTCACATTTTAAAAATACTAGATTAGTATTAGTATAAATAGACTAGGTGAAAACTAATAAGCTAGCTTCTTAGGTGCCTTTAAACCGAATTTATTTTGTATAGTCAAATATTTACCTTCATAATTGAATTAAAAAATAGGCCATGGCAGCCTTATCATCCCAAGATATACTGAAGAATCAAATATATCAAACTAAATTGTTTACTTAAATGAGTAAAAAAAAAAAGAGCCAGGCCACAGAATTTTTTTTGGTTAAAAAGCTAAATAAAGGTCCCCTTAGAGCAGCGCAAGAGAACCATATGTGCTCTGCTTTCAAAGGCAGCCTGTATGCCAGTGTCAGCTTATAGAAACTTTCCCTTGAACTACCCTCTCTCCTCCCATGTGAAAGCAAAAACAAAGCTGCCTTTCTGATGAAAGGGTAAGAAAGGGTCTCCTAAAACCAAATGTAGCTTTGGAGGTTTGTCAACTTTTGAGCAGAAAACCCAGACAGGCTCGGTTTTGTTAAAGGAGAAGCAGAATACTGTGCTGTCCTTTGAAGTACCCAGCATCGTGCTGCTCAAAATGGGATTCCTTGTATGTAAATGACAAATATACAAACAGGATTATGTAAATATGCAGTTATATAGCTATAGGGGTGTATTTTGCTCCAACATGAAAGTTCAGTAGTTTTCATCAATGAGTTACCTAATTATTAGGTATTTTTCTATATGGGAACCTGTCTGCCTAGACAAAAGGCTGCTTCCATCTCGTGCTTCCAAATGAGACAAAGTGCATATTAAATTGTATTCTGACTTCAAAAACACAGCTACATGCAAATTATCCATACCATGTCCAGCATTCCCACAAATTCATCCACTCTAGTCAGCAAGTCTTCCAGACTCCTGTCTAGGCTGTCTATCTGCAAAACAGAAATGCTTTAAAGGCACCCGAAAACACAGGCACAAAACGCAAACCCCTGCTCTCCCAGACAAAACCTGCGGGTACAGACATCGGCCAGACTAAAAGCACCTTCACAGAACTCCCACAGTTCTGCCATCCCCTCCCGGCTACGGAAAGCGCACCCGCTTCTCCCGGCACGGCCGGGGAGGCCTCGCTCCCCCTGCGCCGGACAGCCGGCTGCGGGGCC